GGCGGCGCCGCCGGGGAACATGGCGGACCTCTTTCCCTTCAGAGGGGCCAAGACCGGCATGCACCGCGCGTGCGGGGGCGGGGGCGGGGCAGACTCCAGGGACTCGGGCAAAATTACTGAAGCTAGTAGAGAAACAGAACCTGGCCAAGGGATCAGGTTTAAATTCTTAATGTGTAGAAACAAGACTGCATAGCTAGTTACAGTGATAAATAAGTACAAGGAAAAACACTCTAACTGAATTCTCAGCAAAATAAAGAGACAATCAAAGCTCAGAACATCCAACCAATAGAAAAAAAAATAGTAACAATTTAATCACCAGACCTGAATACTGCAAGATTGACAGGAGACAGAGGCAAAAACATCATTCAAAAAGGAGTTTGAGGGGCTGGGAAGGTGGCTCCGTGGTACAGTGCTTGCCTTGCATGCATGAGGCCCTGGGTTCAATTCCTTAGCACCACAGAAGCAGAAAAAAACGGAAGTGGCGCAGTGGCTCAAATGGTAGAGCGCTAGCCTTGAGCTGAAGAGCTGAGGGACAGCGCCCAGGCCCAGAGTTCAAGCCCAACAACCAAAAAGAAAAAAAAAAAAAAAGAGGAGTTTGAAATAGAATTCTGAATCTCATGTTTGGAGTTTCAAATTGTATTTAGAAGTAGAAGGCACAAAATGCATCTGAAACAGTGTAGGGTCCAAGGGTTGAGAATCAAAAGGCAGTAAGAGGAAGCACACCAAGAATGACCCAAGATATATTCAGAATCTTAGAGGATTCACCTAAAAAGGAAATGGCCTCTTTCTTGATTTAGATTCAGAAGGCTGCAGGGCAATAGGCAGGGGGTGGACACTGGTAGTGTACTTAGGAGGCTGAGATCTTAAGATTACAGTTCAAAGCCAGTCCAGGCAGACAAATCTGGGAAATTCATATTTCCAATTAACCAGCAAAAAGCCAGAAGTGAACGTGTATGTTCAAGTGGTAGAGCACCAGACTTGGGCAAAAAAAAAAAAAACTAAGCAAGAGTATGAAGCCATGGAGTTCAAGCCCAAGTACTAGCACTAATGTAGTACCAAAGCAGAAAAGGAGTAAACAGGAAATTAGTTCCTTGTGTGCATAAACAGAATCTGAGCTTCAGGCGACTTAGGGAACCTTTATAGAAACACAGTATGACCAATGTTCTTGGGGTGGGAGATTGAGGAACAACAAGACTGCCCCATCAACAATGATTAGAAATCTGGCCAGGGACCAGCATATCTATGAAGATGTATGTATCTTTAGGGTATAGGATGCAAGTGGCATCTTACATCAAATGGCATGGTGTGTGAAATTCCTGGACATCCTGCTGAATATAATGTGCTTAGAATATGTTCATAATAGATGGTGAAAATCAGGTAAATAAAACAAAAGTCTTAGCAATTTCTCCTTTTTTGTGTTAGTCTCAAAAAGTTCCTGAGACTGAGTAATAACAAGGGAAAGCTCAATGGGCCCTCTTTGCAAAAGCACTCTTTTCCTCTGGAGTATGAATTTTGAACTCAGATCATGCCCTTGCTAGGAAGGTGCTTTATCACCTGAGCCACATCTCCAATGATCAGTCCTTAGTTATTTTTGAGGACCGTGGGAATACAGCACATCACAAACCTGTAACATAGCAGGGGGACACCAATAGTACTGAAATCAGGAGTGAGTTTGTCCGAGTAGTTTGTCCAGAGAATGTCCCTTAGGAGTGGAAGAATGGAATGTGTAATGTATTGAGTACCTTTATCAGGAAAGGGAAAACAAACATGCTAGCAGCAGAAATAACAAGGGCCCAATGACTTGAATATACATCCTTCAACTCCTTTTGCCTCCTTTAAGTAAAACAATCCCTACATATGTATGTCTAGGCCTTCCCACCCCAGCACAAAAGAGCACCAACATACAAAACAACAAGGGATTAAATAGAACTGTCATATAGATTTATTAATGAAAAATACTTTACAAAAAGAGTATGTTTTGCCCTAAAATAGTTCAGCAGACTCTGAGGATTTACAATGGCGAATGAGCAAGTGGCAGTAATGGTTCTGCTGCTGAAGACAAAAGGATATGTTAATGTGCCAGACTATATCTGTTCAGAAGGGCAAGTGTTATATTGGCAGTTCCATATTCTAGGCCTATGGTGTGTGGCACAGGGAAGACTGGCAGGCCATAACACCTGGGCAGATGGGCTGCCCTGAATGATGCGGTCATGGTGATGACCATGACCACAAGGCTACATGTACCTTTGAGGATGGGAAATGGGGAATACAGAGGGTCAGGTAATAGGGTTAGACAGATTAAAAAAAAAAAAAGTGTGTAAGTTGGGAAGATAGTAGAGACCAGAAAATGGACGTTAGGTAAAGGTGGGGGCATTACTATCCAGAATTGACCTGAAGTCACTAATGACTAGTATCAGGAATAATATAATGGATTCAGCCTTAAAGTGGCTCAAACACAAAACAGCAGCTGCTTCATTTTAGTAGGGGAATTAAAGTTGGAATTTCAGATATTCCCTCTTATTTAAAGAACCAGGTCTCTTTAGAGGTAACCAGTGCCCCAGGGAGAAACTGCCAATTCTATGTTGAGATGAGAATAGCAAAACTATGGCAGAGATGCAGGGTAAGCAACTCTGCCAGTTGTGTTTTATGGCTCCAGGAAACAAAAGGGATGACCCTTACCACCTGCTATGCTGCAGGATTCTAGTTTTGTTCTGCTCTCTTCCAAGAACCTCTGCCAGAACACACAACAACCTTTCTTCCTCTGCCCTCCTGTTCCTAGATTGGGAAGTATAACTGCACTGCCTCCAGTCATCATCTGGGGGTATATCTACTCTTCGAGGACCAGGTGTTCGGGACCCTGGAATAGGACCCGAATTCCAAGCTGATCTTAGGGATGATAGGGACATAGGGTGAACAGTGGGTGGATGAGAGGGTGAATGGAAAAGATCCCCTCCAGCCTGAGCATGAGGAACCTGAAGACCCTGACTCCTTTCTGGTAATGTGATAGTGTGGGTAAGCTGAGGTTTGCATCCTGGAGTAGTTAGGTATCTGGCTCCAAAGTGCTGGTGGGTCTCTGACCAGGGTTCCCGGAAGGCATCAGTTCTGGAACGATGAGGGAGACTCCGGTAGTTCAAAGTCCTTCCTGTGTACTTGACCCCTTGGGAAGTTTCACCCCTGTCACACATAGCCAGAAACTGCTGGACACTCCTTGATGCTCCTATGAAGAAAAAAAAAACTTAAAGACTGAACATCTAAAGAAAATAATCTTTCTTTCCAGATGATCATTCCTGGTAGTATCACCCAACTTCAATCCTTCAAAAGCATACACATGAGAGAAAGAAAAAACCTACTTTTGCTTTTCCCTTTATTTTTAAAATGATTAATGTAATCAAAATCAAGTCTCATCTCCAGCTTGGGCCAGTGAAATAGTCTCTTACATGCATATTTATCCACTGTAATCACTTTAACACACACACACACACACACACACACACACACACAAACGTTCCTTAACATAACAAATACATTTCTGTGATGATGATGACTCTACTACAGCAATTACCCTTCATTCTACTTGCCTGTTTAAATTCTTGTTCAGTGTCTAAGATACCTGCTTTTGTTCCTAACATTCCTCCCACATACACAATGTAGAATGTCTCTGTATATTTACTTGGCACTAGTGATATGGACTGATAGTTCTTTATTGGGAAGCAAGAAGAGTCTACCCTATGATATTTACCAGTTCCCTTGGCCTCTACTCATTAGGTATCTGTAGTACTTTCTTTTCCCTCTATTGAGAACTATAGCATTAAGCTGCAGATTCAGACCATGAGGAGGAAAAGGAGAGTATTTTACTGGGGAGGGTCAATGAAAGTCAATGATGCTGCCCATCATCCTCATGATCATCTGGGTCTATACCCATGACATGGGTTCTCCAGGTAGAATGTCTTTCCAGTTTCCCATTTATTTTTGTCATCCTACACCATCCTTCAGCTGAGATTCAGTGAATAAGAGGGAAAATTAGTTGATATATGTAACACTTTTTGTTTGGAAGGATCCCAAAGACTAGATATTAATTCCTCTTGGTCATTAAAAAGCTTATTCTATCAATACTGATACAATTCAATCTTTTTTTCTGGGGGGGGGGTCTAGTCGTGGAGCCTGAACTCTGGGCCTGGGTGCTGTCCCTGAGCTCTTCAGCTCAAGGCTAGCACTCTACCACTTGAGCCACAGTGCCACTTCCGGCTTTTTTCTCTTTGCTTATGTGGTGCTGAGGAAGCGAACCCAGGGCCTCAGGCATGCAAGGCAAGCGCTCTACCACTGAGCCACCTTCCCAGCCCACAATTCAATCTTATAAATATCTAGATTCTTAGGTGTGCCAGTTTAGAACTCGGACTAAAAACCATGTGCCTAAGAAATGACTCAGTCATAACTCATTGAGATCAATACTAGATTTTAAAGCAGAATTCATGTCCTTACACCACTCCCTCTTGGGACACCCTGCCCTTTCAACAGATATACAGATTTAACCCTTAAAGTTCCCTGGAAAGGTACCACATTCTGGCTTATAATATTAGATTGGGAGGAGTTACCTGGGGGTCTACAGGGTTCCCCTGCCACGCTGGGCATCAGGACATCTGGGGACAGGAACTGTGGTTGGGAAGGGTAGACTTGGGAATCAAGGAGAAATATGGGAGGGTCATGGATGACAGGGAGGGAAGAGGAGCTGGAACAACGGTGCTCGGTTTCCAAAGGCTTTTTCCGCACGTGTGATGAATCCTTATAATGAGACAAGACAAAAACCATAAAGATGAGGATTAACACAGCAGGATGTGGTAGGGTAAACACAGTGAGGCGAGCAGAGGGAAATGAAGGGAAGCAGAGCACAAGCATGGCTTACTCTAGAGAGGGATCCAATTTACTCAGGCACTCTGTCAATCCTTTAAGGAAACTCGAAATATTAGGTCATCACTTTCATCAGATCCCTGAAGTTCTTGTGTATGTGTGTGTGTGTGTGTCTCTCTCTCTCTTTCTCTCTGGCATTTTGTGTACTAGGGAGGGTTTCACATTTTCTAGGCCAGTGTTTTACTACTTAAGCCACAACTCCACTCCTTTTCAACTCTGGTTATTTATTTTTGGTGCTGGTCCTGGCACTTGAACTAAGGGCCTTGTGTACTGTTCTTTTTGCTTAAGGCTAGTGCTCTACCACTTCAGCCACACTCCACTTCTGGCTTGCTTTTTTTTGGGGGGGGGACCGGTCATGGGGCCTGAACTCTGGGCCTGGGCGCTGTACCTCAGCTCTTCAGCTCAAGGCTAGCGCTCTACCACTTGAGCCACAGTGCCACTTCCGGCTTCTTTTCTTTTTGCGTATGTGGTGCTGAATAGTTGAACCCAGAGCTTCATGCAGCGCTCTACCACTGAGCCACCTTCCCAGCCCTGGCTCGCTTTTTTGTTTTTGTCAGTCATGGGGCTTGAACTCTGGGCTTGGGCGCTATCCCTCAGCTCTTCAGTTCAAGGCCAGCCCTCTAATGCTTGAACTGCAGCGCCACTTCCCATTTTCTAGTGGTTTATTGGAAATAAGAGTCTCACGGACTTTCCTGCTGCTGGCTCTGAACCATGATCCTCAGATCTCAGCCTCCTGAGAAGCTAGGATTACATGTATGAGCCACCAATGCCTGGCTGTTTTTTTTTTTTTTTTTTTTTTTGAGAAAAGTCTCACAGACTTTCTAACCTGGACTAGCTTCAAACCTCAATCCTCAGATCTCAACTTCCTGAGTAGCTAAGATTACAGGTATACACCAGTATACCTGGAAACTCTGGGGTTTTTTTTTTGTTTGTTTGTTTTTGGGTCCGGTCGTGGGGCCTGAACTCTGGGTCTGGGCGCTGTCCCTCAGCTCTTCAGCTCAAGGCTAGTGCTCTACCACTTGAGCCACAGCGCCACTTCCGGCTTTTTCCTTTTGCCTAAGGGGGGCTGAGGAATCGAACCCAGGGCCTCAGGCATGCAAGGCAAGCGCTCTACCACTGAGCCACCTCCCCAACTCTGGTTATTTTTGAGATAGAGTCTCACTTTTAACCTGAGGTAGTCTCTGAAATAAGCTCTCACTTTTAGCCTGAGCAAGCACAGCCTGTGATCTCAAATTTATACTTCTCACCATAGCTGATATGACAAGTATGCACCACCACACCCAGCTTTTTTCTGTTGAGGTGAGGTTTTGTTAACTTTTTTGTGTGACTGGCTTGAAACCATAATCCTCAGTCTGATCTCAGTCTCTTACCTAACTGTTACGATAAATATGAACCACCATTCTTTATTGATTAAGATAGGATCTCCCAAACTTTTTGTTTGGTATGGAATGGCAATCTTTCTGATTTCTACCTCCTAAGTAGCATTGAGCCACTGTTGCCTGACTCCATTCAGATCTTTATAGTAAATTCTTTCTTTATTTTTGAAGTTATTGGTTTTATTATGTTATCTTCATGTCTCTGTGTGTTTGTCTGTGTTATATGTATATCTGTCTGCATAACCAGTAAATTCTTTTTTTTTTCCAACCAGTAAATTCTTTTTTTCTTTTTTTTGTCAGTGATAGAACTTGAACTTGGGGCCTGGGCACTGTCCCTGAGCTCTTTTTGCTCAAAGCTAGTGCTCTACACTTTGAGCCACTGTGCTACTTCCACTGTTCTGGTGATTAATTGGAGATAAAGGTCTCACGGACTTTCCTAACTGGACTGGCTTTGAACTGCAATCCTCAGATCTCGGCCTCCTCAGTAACTAGGATTATAAGCATGATCCACAGACACCCAGCCCAACCAGAAAATTATTTAATGCTAACTGGCAGAATTAGATTGAAACAAATTTAAAACTAAGGGATGGGGATATAGCTCAGTGCTAGATCACTTGCCTAGCATGAGTCATGCTCCAGGTTCAATCATTAAATAAATAAATTAAATTAAAGGAGAAAAAAATATTAAGAAAACTAAGAAATTGAGAAAAAAATCTATACTGACTTGAGTACTGAAATATGGAATCTCCATCTTCTGTACTACCACTACTATATTCCCCAGAAATGCTTTTGCATGTCAAATCTGCATTGTTATGTATGCCCTGCTTTTATGCTGTGTTACTTATTTTGTGGTAAAGACCCAGAAATACCCCTTTCACGTGTCACTAGCAATGTTCTCCCACTGTTTAAACATTCATTAAAGTGAAGCTTCTGATCAAATGATACTTCATCAGAGTTCATGTCCTTCACTGTTCTCTCAAAAATAGTTCTGAGTAAAGCCACGATTGCTTTGTAGTCCTACTTCTCTTGAGTTACTTTATTCTTCTTTATCATACTTATCTCTGGGTTGTATCATGTTTGCCTTCTTTCTCCCCCACTAGAATACATTTCTTTTCATTTCAGAATCTCTGAGCACCTTGAACAGTGCCTGGAACAGTGCATACTTTTGGTAAATAATACACAATACATTTAATTTCCTTTAACATACTAAAAGCTATTCAATAGCAGAATTTGTTTTTTTCACCAGCATATGATCATAATAACTATTATGGATATCAAGGAAGAGTGTTTCAAGAAGAAAAATATTTCTACTAGGATACCTTACTTCTCTGGTTTCTGTTTGAGCTCTCTTGTCTTTATTTTATTTTTCTTGTGAGTCAGTCATGGGGCCTGAACTCTGGGCCTGGGCGCTATCCCTCAGCTCTTCAACTCAAGGCTAGCACTCTACTACTTGAGCCACAGTACCACTTCCAGCCTTTTCTGCTTATGTGGTACTAAGGAGTCAAACCCAGGGCCTCATGCATGCAAGGCAAGCACTCTACCACTGAGCCACCTTCCCAGCCCATCTTGTCTTTTTTGTTGTTGGTGGTGGTAGTTGTAGGACTTGAACTCTGGACCTGAGCGCTGTCCCTCAGCTCTTCAGTTAGCACTCTACCACTTGAGCCACAGTACCAATTCTGGTTTTCTGGTGGTTAATTGGAGATAAGAGTCTCACAGACTTTCCTGCCCAGGCTGGCTGAACTGCCATCCTCAGATCTCAGCCTCCTGAGTAGCTAGGATTACAGGCATGAGCCACCAGCCCCCGGCTTGGCTTGGCTTTTTTTTATCTGTGCCTTTTCTTCAGAAGATCTACCTTAAAGCTAATCTTCTTCAAACGTTTGTCCTGACTGTTCTCTCTGCAATATTCTTTTCCTCTCCAGTGGCTAGGGTTTCAATTTGTAGCCCATATGTCTCATACCCATAAGTTATTTCCACTCAGAATTGAATATAAAACACCACTCCTACCAAACGTAATTTTCAACCCATGAAACTTATTATTCTTGACTCCGTTCCCCATATTCAAGCAGACTGATATCAAGTCTCATTTATATTTACTTTCTAATTGACTCTCCAATGTTTATTTCTCTCTAACCTCCTAAACTCTTTACCATGACCTACAGAGCCTTCTGTGGACTATGATCTGACCCTTAATTTGTATTATTTCCTATAGCATTTGTCAACATTCTCCATCATCTCACCTCAACCAGACTCTAATCCTGCCATAACAAATGTGTGTGTGTGTGTGTGTGTGTGTGTGTGTGTGTGTGTGTGTTACTAGGGATTCAACTCAGAGAATCCACTTGAGCCCCATTTCCTAGTCACCAATGAACCTCTTTCAATTCAGTTAATATTTGCTCAGATTTCTTTACCTGCTACATTCATTTTTGCCTCCTCCAGAAAGCCATTTCTAAAACCTCAAGCCTGATATCTCTATTATAAACTCAGGGTTTGTGCTTATTAAGTAGATTGTGCTTATTACTAGATTGGTACTCTACCATGGAGCCATGCCTCCAGCCCTTATGTATCATTTTCTTCTTTTTTTGTTTTTTTCCATGTTTTTTTTTTCCGTAAGATTTCTATTTAGACAGCTCTTTTAATGTTCCTATACTAATAAATCCTTATCGTATGTTAAATTACAGGTTTATCTGTACCCTATGGTATACTGAAAGCTACATAAAAGCAGAGACTGTATCTAATTCACTCACCCAGGTATCCCCAGCACCTGGTACAGTATCAAGAACATAAGCTCAATAAGCATTTGTTGAAAGGAATTAATTCGTAAAAAGAATTAGTGAATAAATGCATGATAAGAACTCAGAAGGAAGCTAACTCTCCTAGGAAAGCTAACATTATACTAAATGCTTTGAAAATATATGAAAAAAATACTAGTCAGAAAAGACTATCTTTTCCAAAAAGAATCCAGGTAAATGAACACTTTATATTAAATGCATTGAAAATATATGAAAAAAATGCTAGTCAAGAAAGACTATCTTTTCCAAAGAAAATGGCAGATATTCCTTTTAGAACCTTATGAATAATAAATGTAGAAAAATGAGTGCTTCATGGGAGGGAAACTAGATCTGAAGGGCTAGTAGGACAGAGACACAATTTTCACTGTCTCTCTTTCTGCACCTTCCAAATTGTACCATGTGTTTAAAAACTTTTTTTTCCTGTTTTGTTTTGCTGGTACTGTAGCTTGAACTCAAGGCCTCACATGCTCACTTGGCTTACTCACTCATTGCTGGCACCATATCACTTGAACCATACCTCTGGCATGCTAGTTAATTAGAGATGGAATTTATGAGGCCTTTTCTACTCAGGCTATCTTTGAACTGTGATCTTTTATGTCACAGCCTCCTGAGTAGCTAGTACTAGAAGCATAAGGTACTAGCGGCTGGCTTTAAACCTGCTATAAGGAGGATGAGGATGCAGTTCAATGGTAGAGCACTTGCCAAGCATGTGCAAAGTTTAATCCTCAGCATTACAAAAAAAAAAAAAAAAAAAGCAACATGCCAGGTGCAATGGCTCAAGCCTGTAATTCTAGCTACTCAGGAGGCTAAGACCAGAGGATCATTGTTCAAAGCCAGCATGGGCAACAAAGTCTGTCAGACTATAATCTCCAATTGACAACCAAAAGGCTGGGAGTAGAGCTGTGGTTCAAGTGGTAGAGTGCTAGCCTTGAGCATAAAAACTCAGGGAAAGTGCTGAGGTTCAAGCCCCAGGACTGGCACAAATTAATTAAGAAAACAAAACCTTGTTTGTAAATTTTTTTCATTCAACAAATATTGAACATCAATTTTACATGGAAAAATGTGGGAAAGAGCTAAAATGAACTTTTGTAATCCAGCTTTGTTCAAATAGTCCAGTTCAATTTGGAAAGAATGGATGAGTCAACCTTGAAAATAGGCATCACTATAAAACTGAAGACACTTCCATTGCCTTAAGGAACTCAAAGGCTGGATTTCTGATGGCTGAGATGCACTCATATCTGCTCAGAATCTGGTAAGTGCATGCTTGATCCCTCATAATATGGCAAGACACAACATGTGTGGTAGCTCAGGTCTCTCTTCTTACAAAGCTACTAAATATATTTTTTATGTTTCATTGAACTGACCTAGTGGACAAATTTCAATGTACTGGCGCTTTGCATTCTGACTAATACTGAAAGGAAAACAACTTGAAATTGTTAAAAGATGTATTACCTGCAAACCTAGCCAATGATAGTATTTGAGTCTACTGATGTATATTTTCTCTACTGGCATTGGTTTTACTTTTCGTTCTTCCAATTATAGATTATTGCATTATTACCCTATGAATACTCTCAAGGAGGAAGATTTTAAATTATTTTCTTATGAAAATAATACTGGGACCCACTCAATCACATAGTAGGTAGAGAGGGAAAGGTGAAACAATAATCTATGCTATTTTTTTCTTTCTTCCTTTGTTAAGTACCATGGGTTCTGACCCAATCTGAGCCTTTGGTATTCAAATTCCTCCCAAGGCTCCCATTACTACTGCTATGGTTTGGATATGAAATGTCCACAAAGCCTCATATATTGAAGGTTTGGTCCCAAGCTGGTGCTTCCAAACATTAAGAGGTGATTACAGCCGGGCACTGGTGGCTCACGCCTGTAATCCTAGCTACTCAGGAGGCTGAGATCTGAGTATCGCGGTTCAAAGCCAGCGCAGGCAGGAGAGACCGTGAGACCCCTATCTCCAATAAACCACCAGAAAACTGGAAGTGGCGCTGTAGCTCAAGTGGTAGAGTGCTCGCCTTGAGCTGAAGAGCTGAGGGACAGCGCCCAGGCCCAGAGTTCAAGCCTCACAACCGACCAAAAAAAAAAAAAAAAAGAGGTGATTACATCAAAAGTGCTAACTTTGTCAATGGATTAATACATTCATTAATTCATCAAATAAACTACTAGGAAGTGAAGCCTCATTGGAAAAAATCATGTTCACATGAAGTTTGCCTTTCAAGAGTATATCTGGCCCTGGCTCCTTCCTATCACTCTCTACCTCCCAGTTGCCATGAAGCTCTGTCCATCACATCCCCTATGCCCTAATGGAAACATTGTTCAAGCCAAAGCAATATAGCCAGCGATATGAACAGAAACCTCTGAAACCATGAGCCAAAATAATCATTTTTCCTTGTTTTCTCAAGTATTGTCATTATGTTGTTTTGTTGTTGTTGTCAGTCGTGGGGCTTGAACTCTGGGCCTGGGCACTGTCCCTTAGTTCTTCAGCTCAAGACTAGTGACCACTTGAGCTACAGCACCACTTCCAGTTTTCTTAGTGGTTTATTGGATATTAGAGTTTCACGGACTTTCCTGCCCAGGCTGGCTTTGAACCATGATCCTCAGATCTCAGCCTCTTGAGTAGCTAGGATTACAGGTGTGAGCCAGCAGCACCCTGCCAGGTATTGTCATTATGATAAAAACTGACACAATACCTTTCATCCTAGGGATCTCTAAAACACCCCCATCTGTCTAGGAAAGGGGTATCCTCTGAGCTCCATACAAATGTAAATAAAATTCTGAAGATGTGTCCTAATTCTTGCTAAATGCATATGGCTTTCCACAAACCTTCAGTTTCTACTTACTTTTTACCTATGCTGTATTTTTACTAGCAGAGAGGAAGGTGCTCTGAATAGATGAACCCTGGTGCTACTTACAAAACTCTGGCAAGTGACTGGAACCTCCTCCCTCTCTGAGACAACGGTGGCACTGAGACTGCGTGAGATGCGGCGAAAGTTCTCTGCACTGTACTGTTCATCCTCACCATATTCCCTGCCAAGGCCTTGGCAAGCTGTAGCCTTCAAACACAGACACACAGGCAGACACATAATATCAGACCTGTGGTTTTCTCACAGGCTCTTTCCTCAGAGATACGGCAGACAATTGAATAAGGTAGACTGTTAAACACCTAAATTAGATATTATTGAAATGTAGTGACTGTGGCTATCTCCTTTTACTCAAAAAGAGAATGACCATGTACTCTTCAGATAGCCCCACATGACTATGCCTCTGCCTTACATCAACCACGACTCATTTCTTAGCAAATTTGCTTTTCTAGCATACCACCCAGGTCCAGCACCTTAGCATTTAAAGCTGCTGCCTGTGATGCAGACACTGTGCTCACTTCATGGAAAATGTGCTCCATTTCTGCTGTTGGGGTCTTTGACAGATCAAGACCAGGTGCTGAGTGCAGTCTCCTCCCCATGCCATCTGTACAGGAAGAAAACATAAGTACAAACTGAAATCATGTCTTTTGGGGACCACAAATCTGAGACTGGAAGCACAGATTCAGAAGCTCACATTGCACCTAAGTAACAAATATTCATCCCTGAACCCAATGGGGAAATGTGTTCCTAGCATATTATTTAGAAACAATAATTTTCAGAGTATGGATGGATTCAAATAGTGTAAAAGGGTCACAACCCTTAAAGAATTTTGTAATAATCAAGAACTTCATGAAAAAACAGATGAATATCTCCATCCTGTCACATTTCATTTTTGTAAACAGAGGTTGGTATGAAATTTGTAATGTATAGAAAGAACATTATCTTACATAGAGATTTTCTGTGGCAACAAAGGACACCATTATTTCCAGTCTAATTCAGAATTAGAGTAACCACAGTCATCATATATCAAACCTCATTTGATATAACAAGAACATGAGCTCCAGGATCTGACAGGTAGTACTTTTCAGCACAGTATTTTCCCTCCCACCTTCTTTTCTTTTTCTCTCTTATTTTCTCTCTCTCTCTCTTTCACACAAAGTCATTACTTTTGAGGGATGCATTCAAAATTATTTATGAGTGGAAAAATACATATCTAATATGTGCTTTTTGTGGAGGGGGGCAGTCATGGGCCTTAACTCTAGGCCTGGGTGCTGTCCCTCAGCTCTTCAGCTCAAGGCTAGCGCTCTACCACTTGAGCCACAGTGACACTTCTGGCTTTTTCTGCTTATGTGATGCTGAGGAATGCAACTAGGGCCTCATGCATGCAAGGCAAGCACTCTACCACTAAGCCACCTTCCCAGCCCAATAATATGTGCTTTTAAAGAAACTAGTGAGAAAAGGAGAGTGAGAGGCTACAGCTAAATAAAAAATCACCACCACAGAAGCTGGTGATAAGTACCTGGAAGTTTACTAAAGCACTTACTTTAACTCTATACTTTTATTTGAAATGTTTCATAACAGAGTTGCTGTGTATTTTTAAGTAAACATCTGTAAGGTGATATCTACATGGCTTGGAAGTACTACAAAATTCAGAATATCTAGATAGATAGATAGATAGATTTATATGGAGCTTATATAATTTATATGGAGCTTATATAATCATGTCAAAATGAATCTAATCACAAAAGACCACCTACTTTATAATTTCATTTAGATACAATGTCCTGAGTAGACAAATAGATTTGTGGATTCAGAGGTTAGGAGGAGGAATTGAAGATATGAAGTGTATGACTGCTATTAGGTATAAGTTATAATCATCCTTTTGGGATGATTAAACACACTTTGACACTATGGTGAGCTGGGGTTAATAGTAAAGAACTTAAGAGAAAGGCCTTGAGTTTAAACCACTGTACAACAAAATATGGAAGGGGGGAGTAGGGTGACTAACAATTAGAAAATAAAACTATAGTGATAGAATGACAACTCTAGTATATTAAAAACTATGTTGTACACTTTATTTATTTATTTATTTATGCCAGTCCTGGGGTTTGAAATCAGGGCCTGGGCATTGTCCCTGGGCACTGTCAAGGCTAACACAGTGCTACTTCTGGCTTTTTCTGTTTATGTGGTACTGAGGAATAGAACCCAGGGCTTCGAGTAGTCTTCTTTCTTTATGAGGAAGGAATTGATCTGTGAGTGCTAATTCTGTCTCCAACACCACTCTGGCTAAAAGGTATGTCCAGATTTTACAAGTAAAGTCAGAAGTTATAATTACTGTTCACTAAGCTATGGATACTATCTGTTCAGAACACCAACCCTCTTTCAGCATTTTTTCAGAGTATTCTTATTCTCCTCCACCCTTCACTGCATCTTTACCTGTTTGGCAAAGTGGATGCCAAGTTACATCCTGCTGCTCCCATCCAGAACTTCCAGCTTGAGAAGCCTGTAGACTGGCCTGGTAGAGAGACTCCAATTCTGATGTCTCCCGCTCTGTATCTTGGTTCCAATGTGGATGCAGAAGGATGTGATTTCTCTCTGGATAGGTTACACAGGTATGGGAGTCATGGGGGGAGGACTTTGCTCCTGGGCCAGGGAGCCCATGTTTAAGCTGAGAATCACAGAGCCTTGTAACATTTACCCAGGAATCCAAAGGCAAACAAGTCCCCAAGCTGATACTGCTATCAAGCTCCTTAGGCCTAACATCTCTCATTTGAGATAGCTTCCCTTGGTGTACAGCTAGTTCTGCCAACCTGGGCTGTCCTCCCCTAGAGCTTTCACCATTAGGCAGCCCAGTGTCCATGGCAAGAGAAGTATGGTCAGCAGGCTCTTCCCAAGAAGCAAGTCTGTCTCTAGTATCCAGAGAGAGCTTTTGTTTTACCCAAGGACAGTGGCCTTTTCCTTGACCTTGTTGGAAAGAAGGCTTCAAGTCAGAAGGGGAACTGTTCTTCCTTAGACTACTTGGCAAACTTTGATTCTGGGAACCTGTAGCATCCCTTGTGGAGGCACTCTGCATCTTCTGGAACTGTTCTGCCAGAGAGCGGACAAGTCCTTTTGTGCTGGGAAACTCTGGCCGATAGGTCTCTTCATTACTTTCAACTACTTTTGAAATCAATGGAATTTGGAGGCATTGGTTAGTTTTCCGCACAGGATCAGGAGAATAAAGCACAGATGAAGAAGCAGCAGACATTACAGGATGACAGGCCATATGAAGGGGAATGCTGGGCTGAGCTGATGAACCTAAAGGACTATAGCTTAAGCTGTGTGCATTTCCTGTCTCCGAGGTGACTCTTCCTGTTGGATGTGACCAAGGCATCACCTGGAAAGGGTCAGTAGAATCCTTCTCTTCTTGGAACAGCTGTTCTTGAGCAATGCCCTGTCCTTGTTGTGGAAGAAACCTGTTACAGTTAATGTTGTCCTCCCTGCAGCCTTGCAGCTTACCCACAAGGCCATCCAATGGCATGCATTCATGATGGGAAGTCTTCTCAGTCTTCCCTGTTTTTTTAGGTAAACTTTGCCTTTGGAGTGCAGAAGCATCAATGCCATCCACCTCAACTGAAGTCAGAAGCTTTGAGGAAGATCTACTGGAGGAGTTGTGCTCTGGGGCAGATGATTCTGGGAATAGTGATGCATGTGACACATGGCAAGAAGCAGGTGAGTGAAAGAAAGAAGAACTGGCCCCAAACTCTGTATCTGTGCAGGGTTCTAGTTGGGCCTCCTGTCTTAACAATACTTGGAGCGAGACAGGTTGTTCACTGAAAGAAATGGAGAAAAACAGTCATAAGCTGCTTTTAAAATGAACTACTAATTCAATTCCTATTTCTAACTATTAACAGAGAGGATAATGAGAATAAATGAAAAGATAAGCACAAAAAAGTTAATAGTTCAGAGGTTCAAACACATACCCAGACATATGGTCCACTCACCCTCAGATGAAAAGGCAATACTATAGTGCTATTAAATGCTTTCACTAAAACTGCATATGGTAATATTAAATAGTACCCTTACCTATACATTTTTTAAACTATTTATGAAGTTCCATTCTAATCATATTCTAATTGCAAGTTAAAAAACAGAAATACTATTCTCACATGCAGATGATATGGAAGATAAGCAGAGCTTGAAAATCACTCATACCAAACAGCAAAAATCCAGGATGCTATATAAGGAAGAAAGTCCTACCGAGGATCCTATGAGGTAGTTGAGACAAAGGAACCAAGAGTATACAATTACAAAATATAGGATGGTTTGGGTTCATGGGATTACAGAGAGATCTACTCTCTTGAATGTGCATTTGTAATCCAGGTTTCATTGTATTTGTCACTCAGATATTTCCTTAAAGTACTATTCTATGACTCTTAATGTTTAGAAGAATAGAGATTAACTACACATATTTAGTTAATAATTATTATGTATGTATAATAAAATGCAATATTACAAGTACTTAAACCTTCAACTTTACAAATTTTGGATAATCAAATTACAGATGCTTAACCCATGTGTCTCTTACTAGAAAATCAAGATTTTGCCCTCCAAAACTTAAAACTATTATTTCAGATCCCTAATCTAAAAATTCAAAATTTGAAATGCTCTAGACTCCAAACTCCTTTGAGAGCAAATATGATGCTAAAACAGTCGAAACAGATCTGGATTTGAATTCTATACCATGTACCACTTATCAGCTACATGATCTTGAGTACTTTATTTCTCTCCTCTGAATTCAACCTCCCCTATTTGTAAGTATTCTACATAATTATCAGTATTTCATAAGATCATTGAAAGAATGAAATAAAAGATATAAAAGCTTAGCTTAGACTTGAACCTAGATAGATCATAAAACATTAGCACACATCGGATGTAGACCAATGGTAAAATGCCTGCCTAGCATGTACAAATCCCTACGTTCCAGTCCCAGTCCCACCAAGGGAAAAACAACAACCAAAAAGAGCTCACTTTATTATACTTCTATTTTGAAAACTGCTCAGAATGATTAATAATTAAGGTTACTTTTTGCTTAAATTCATTTAAGTAGGAGCCAAGTTAAAGGCTAAGACTGTAAGAACTACAACAATGACTACTAGAATGTTTTTCTAATCTTGACCTTAGAGAAGCTAACAAAAAAAAATTTTATGTCTTCTTTCTATGGTCTTATCAGAGGAAGGAAGACTATTTTCCCCATTTCCATTGGATATGGGAAACACTGAACTCCCAAAATAAATTTTAGGCTTGCTACTATAAGATGAAAGGCAGCCCAGACCATCATGTCTAAGAACATAATAATTATATTGTAAGCTAGAGAGATAAGCTCACTCCTAGGCTATTTGGACACATGGATAGGACCACTAGAGCAATGAGCTTTTCACTGTAGATCTGACCTGAGAGAAGAAAAATCTTTCCAGTGGACTCTTCTCTCTTCCCTGTAGTCGCCAAGACAATGAGAGTTCTAGCTATGAAGTATCCATGGTCACTTCCTCCCCTGGTGTCCATAAACTAATGTGGGTTCCCAAGCACTACCTTGTTGGCTGAGGGAGGGCGCCCCCATGTGATGGGAGGCAGGCTGAGGGCTGCGGCGGCTGCTGCGATGACTGTTGCTGCTGCATGCGATCCTGCAGGCTCCGTGCTTTTCGAATACAGATTTGCAACTTCTTATCGACTAAGGCTCTGCTGTGCGTGCTAGAGCTTGTACCATGCAGGGCAAGTCTTAGTTTAGCTAAAATGCAAAAGAAAATATAGCAGAAACAGAACACAAAATAAAAATAAAAAGAACAAAACTGAACCAAAAACAAGCAAAATTTGCAATAAAACTCAAAATATGCAACAGGAATGCAAGGCATGGACCATGCATATGCTGACCAGGGCACACAGCTGGCTCTGGCTATAAGGAACATTCATGGAAGCCATGGAGGCCAAACAGGTTAATTCAAATTTTAAGAAAACAATACAAACAAACAAACAAACAAAGAACCAAAATAAATCAGGAAGATAAACTAGTGCTTATAGGTTGCCACTCTTGTTATCCTTTCCAACTGACCTGTTGAACTCTGGTCTCCACACTTTGCTCCCAACTCCCCCTTCCTGATGGCCAACAGCAGAAATAAGATCCAAACCTGCATCTGTCTTTATAGAGCACAGCTTCTTGTGGGTCACATTTAAGAGTCAGATATCAATTCTAAGCCTTAGTCCCTTGCTGTAACATTATGGTTGCTGCATACCAGGAAGGCAGAGGAGAAACAAAAAGAATCGAATATTGCAATGGAAAGTTACTTGCTGGAAGTCAGAGCTAATTTATTCAGTGTTCCTACCATAAGCTCTAACTCATATTCAGTGTAGTCTACACTAAGAACAAATGATCCTCATTTCTGAGGTTTAAGTACATCTTGGGTTAACATGGCTACAGCATTCATCTGTGAATTCTTGATGATGTTAGTCCTGTAAAAACTCCACAGGCCACAGTAACAATGCCAGGCACAGTTAAAAATCTGAAAGGCAACGATAGCTAAAGGGCCTCTAGCTGGGAATGTAAGCGTGAAGAAATATAAAAACTATTTTACATGGCCGAGTGACAATATTTAGAGCTATTGCGAAGTTAATAAAAAATGCCATAGCCATAGCAGTTAGAAATTACTTACAGATAGCTTCGTTACAGAGAGCCAAAGCTGCAGCACAGTCTCCCTTTTGTTCCAGATGCAGTGACTCTTCAAATACTGAATTTGCCTCTTGCAGGGACCTCTCAAAGCCGTCACTCCTCCCTGAAAGGGCCAGCACTTTTCATTTCCATTATGATTAATTCCAACTTCTCCTATATACAGTAACTTCTCACTGATACACACAGATCCTGGCTGTTGATCTACTGGTCTACTCTTATCCCCACTGTCAACTTAAAAATCTGAAAGAAGGGGGGCATCCATTTTTTCCTTAATGGAGATGTTGTTGAGGCCATGAAAAAGAAGCAAGTAAGTCATTGCCAGATACTCTCTCTTAGAGACTTTCAAGGAAAGAGAAAAGTATTGTTTATAAGAGCAAAGAATAACAGGATACCCCTTATCAACCACTGTTAGAAGACCCCAGATGTCTACTGTTGTTAGAGCAAACATGGCTTCACTGTTCTGTAGAAAGTCATCCATATCAGTGCATTCCCTAACATCAATTCACAATCCTCTCTGCATCACCCTAAACTAGAAAACTATGTTCAGGGAACAGACAGTCTACAATTCTTACCTCAATGTATCTACCACAGCAGCTGAATGGTATTTTCTGTTACACGAATATACTTTTTACCAGCACTGCTAAGTACTTATTTGTGTCATGCTCTTGGTCCTAACTACTTCCTTCCAAAAAGTCACCTTCCTATACAGCAAGCATGAGACATTCCTTCCTCCACTCAAAGTGGATGTGTGAGTAAACAACTGCAAAAGAGTACAAGTACAATGTGAGATGGAAAGGCTAGAAAGTACATTAAAGGTAACTTTTATAAATGAACCTTCAAGTTAATGTATCCCTTATCTTCTACTCACTCATAATTGTCAGTTAGAAGGAAACTCCAATGTAAATTCACTTATAATTGGGATTGACATTGGACCTTTATGTACATATGAGCAGGAAATCAAAATCATCTGAATCATTTCTCCCCATCTCCACTTATCTTTAGCTGGATATGATTTTTTTTAAAAAGGCTCTTTCACACTAAAAACATTCACTTCCTGCTTTATTATGGTTTCCAAAGAACAATTAGAAGACAAAGGAAGTAGCAACTGGTTATAAAATATTTGGCAAGCCAGGCACCAGTGGCTCACACCCGTAATCCTAGCTACTCAGGAGGCTGAGATCTGAGGATCACAGTTCAAAGCCAGCCTGAGGAAGAAAAGTCCATGAGACTCTTATCTCCAATAAACCACCAGAAAACCAGAAGTGGCGCTGTGGCTCAAGTGGTAGAGTACTAACCTTGAACTGAAGAGAGTAGGGACAGCACCCAAGCCCAGAGTTCAAGCCCCATGACCAACAACAACAAAAACAAAATTGGCATCCAGATTCTACCCATCTCTGTAAGTGATTTTCCCTATGCCCAGGCCCAAAGTTTTCATTATATTTGCAGTCAGTTGAATCAGAAGAAGGAGGAGGATTGGAGGAAGAGGAGGAGGAGGAGGAAGAGAAGGAGGAAGAAGAAGAAGTGAGAGAGTAAGAGGAGGAGGAGGGGAAGAGGAGGAGGAGGAGGAAGAGAAGAAGGAAAAAAAGGAGGAGGGGAGGAAGAAAAGGAGAAGGAGAAGGAGAAGGAGGAAGAGGAGGAGGAGGAGGAGAAGAAGAAGAAGCAGCAGAAGAAGCAGCAGCAGAAGCAGCAGCAGCAGAAGCAGAAGCAGAAGCAGCAGCAGCAACAGCAGCTCTCAACTCTCAGGAGGCCAAGGCAGAAGGATCATGAGTTCAAGACTAGTCTAAGCTATATATATAGTAAGACCTTGACTAAAAGAAAAAAGTTCCCAACAATTTTACAAAGATCTAGGTGAACTACAATTGATCAATTACAAAATTCTTATCATCCAGAATCTTGGATTTCAATATCTTCTTTTTCCAGGAAATGCTGAACCAAAATTATAGAGAATTAAAAATAATATAATTGTCAGTGGGATTCCCTCTCAATTTTAATGTACTGCTCACCTGCTGGAGGAAAGAAAAGACAAGGGGGAAAGGGTAGTTAAAGAAACTTGGGTGGGGGCTAGGAAAGTGGCTCAGTGGTAGAGTGCTTGCCTTGCATGCCTGAGGCCCTGGGTTCAATTCCTCAGCACCACATAATCAGAAAGAAAAAAAAAAGGCGGAAGTGGCGCTGTGGCTCAAGTGGTAGAGCACTAGCCTTGAGCTGAAGAGCTGAGGGACAGCGCTTAGGCCCAGAGTTCAGGCCCCACGACTGGACCCCCCCCAAAAAAAGGAAACTTGGGTGGGAGGCATGGTTCAAGCAGCAGAGTGCCTACCTAGAAATAACATAAATCTGGAAACCAAAGTGATACAGCTCTAGGCCAAAAAGGAGAGAGACAGCTCGGGATTTTGGAGTTTAAAGCTCATCTTGATACAATACAATGTCTTGGAAAATATAAGATACCAATTGCCTTAAATAAAAAAAAAACAGTAAAAGGGGGGGGAGGGGGGTGGCTGGGAAGGGATGTGAAGGGTAAACAAAGGAGGAGGCTGCAATGCTTGGTAAGAAATGT